GAGTTTGTGAGAGTCAGGGACCACTTTGCTCACTTACATGAGGCTGTCCAGGGCTGAATTCCTCTTTATGATTCAGTGCCCAATGTGTATGAAACAGTGACCGGGTAAGGTATTCTCCTGGGCAGGCCCTCACGCTCCATTGAGAACAAGTTCTAAGTCTAGATTTCCGAAGCTTAGAGCTTTTGGGAAGCTTATTTGTGGGTATGGGCCTTGTGTATAATTTCCAAAGAGGCATACTCACCATCAAACTGATCTTTTGATCTTTCTATTGCTTGACTCCTACGTCTAAGCTTCAGTTATTTCCAAAGTTGAGGTACTAGTCGTCGGTGGTGGGAAAGATGAAATTAATTGTCACCTCTAAATTTCCAACAAAGAGTTGCAAGATAAATATTGGTTGGTTGAGTAGACAGTTCAAGACCAGTGTGAGTCCAGAAATTTAGAAGACTAGAGTTGTGGAGAAGACTGGGGGCAAGGAGGCAAAGCCAAGAGAGATGAAATTTCATGATGTTCCAGGAGAGGACCTTGAAGCAGAAAAAGATTTTGTAGCACAATCTGGAGGCAGCTGTTCTATGAATCTCTAATCATAAAATTTTTTTCTGGTAATGTATTGAATCACCACAGTTTCTTTCCAAGTGCAATGGAGATTACTGAGAGAATGCTTGCAAATTAGACATTTAAGAAATATCTATTGACTATACTAAATGATGGTATGGATTATGGTAAGCCTATGGTAAGTCTCATAGACTTAGTAAAACACCAAGTACACTAAGGGGAAATATCCAAAACAAAATCCTCTCTCTCAACCTCAACATTACAGATGGGACTCACATAAGCCCTTCACACAAGTAAGCACAGATGGCAAGAGTTACTACCAATAGAAAATTACTGGAATGCAGGTGAAAAAAACAGAAGGAAGGAAAGAAGGAAGGAAGGAAGGAAGGAAGGAAGGAAGGAAGGAAGGAAGGAAGAGTGGATATACATACTTATAAATATATATAAATACATTTTTATATATAAAATGTTATATGTATTTTATCTAATAAGTAGCATATGTGTATAGACACACAGATATACATATATATACCTATACATAGATAAGATGTCAGGCTGACCTGACATCTTTATATCAAATTAAATTGTCATAATTGAAGTCTATTCAAAATTATTTCATCAGACTGTTCAACTAAGACTGGGGACAATATCCTAGAATGACCCCAGGTAAGACTGTAAATAAAGGAAAATTCAAAGTATTTCCTTTGTGCTTAATGGAAAGTTATTAGGGTCACAGATGCCAGGTTGAAAGATGAAAAGAGAAAAAAAATCTAATCAGGAAATGTGAAAGCTAATATTTTAGCGAATTAACTCACTCCAGTGACTCATCCCAGATGTATTAAGTTTTCACATTTAACAGTCTCTTCATTGAAAATACTAAATACCATCTGTCTCCTGTGGATGAGTTAACATTAGTCTTAAAACCTTCAAGTCCACATTTCCTAATTCTTTTGTTTGGAAATAAATAACCTTTATGCAGCAGTGGCATGACTTGGGAATGTAATTTCTTTGCCCAATTGGGAGGAATAAATAAAAAAAATTCCAAAACAGAGCTCTCAGGTTATGAAATGTTCTGTGGGTCAAAGAAGGTTGGTTCTGTGTACAAGCTGCCTCCACTGGATCTGTCCCTAGGATTCTTTTTAGGATTATTTTTCTTGCCTCTTTAACCAAATCTCAGTTCTTCATTAAAATTGAGTTCACATTGAAATCTGAAATGGGAACTACCTGTTGGACCCAATCGTGATTCTGGGACGCTGCCTCCAAGGGCCAAATAAATCCCTTATTCATTCCTACCACCTTTGCTCAGTGACACCTTCTTTTCCTTCTAAATAGAAAAATGCTATTTTATTGATGTAAGAATATTGAGCCTTGCATATTTTTGGGTTCTTTAAATCAAAAGGGAGAAAATAATCAAGAAGATCCACCAACAATCTTTATACAAACAGAAGGATCATGAAGGAAAATAGAAAAGAAACAAGGCCAACTGTGATTTTGGGATCCCAAGTAAACGAACTATATACACACTTGGATCATGGGTTTTGGTGGTAATAAACACTGTATCTAATTCCAAGATTTGATTCCAGTTCTTGCCCAGTCACTATCTGGCCAGTGACCTTGAGTAACTGACCTCATTAATTCCCTGGGCCTCAGTGTTCCCTTTGTCAAGTGATGGGGTAGTCCTAGGATGGGCTCAGGAACCAATAGAATGTATTGTTGAAACATGTATGAGTAACCAAAGAACTGATTTGGTACAAATATTTATGTCACCATGTGGTGTGCTAGTTTTAGCCCCCAGACAAATGCACTGAGGTCATGTAGTGTTTTGCTTTGTCCTGAGATTTCTGTGCTCAAATTCTTAGGATTTCTAGCCTTCCAAAACTGACCCCCAGTGTGACTTTCCAATGTCTACTGTGATTTCACCTCTGTGCCTGAGCTTTTACCTGTCAGTAAATACCTGTTGTATTTCTGGCTTTTCTTTTTTTCTTTTATGCTTCTCTCTCTACTGTGCTTTCTCTCACTGTGTATTACCCAAATCCTACTTCCCTGAATCATGAAAATATTTTTCAGTATGTCTTTCCTGGCAACTTCCTGCCTATCTCTTCCTAACAATTTAATGTGATATTTTTCCCTCTAGTCAAAGGTTTCCTAACCTCAGCGCAAATGACATTTTGGACTGATATGTTTTGTTGAGCAGTAACGTTTCTACCCTCTACACAGCAGACGCCAGTAGTACTCCTCACCCCCTAAATAGTGACAGTTGGAAATGTCTCAGGAGACTGCCAAATGTCCCCTAGTGGGGCAAAATCACCTGTGATTAAGGATCACTGTTCAAAGCCTTCATCCTACTCATAGTATAAATGAATGCCACGCCCAGCAGGCCTGTTTTTCAAATACACTTCTGTCACTTCTTACTCTGTGACTTTGAGGAATTTACTCAACGTCCCTGAACTTTGGTTTCCGAGGTACAACGTAAGAATGAAGTTTTGCCTGGCAGAGTTGTTATGGTGATTGCATATGACTTTTAGCAGAGATACAGATATGTTTGAGGTTGTTTAGTGATCTTTAAAAAGGGCTCTTCAGAAGTTGGGTACAGTGGGCTAAGGAGCTTTTGAAAGAATTGCTTCTGAATGAAAGACTTGGACACAGCAATAATAACACTTAGTAATAATAATAACAATAAAATATCTATGAAACATGTTAAAATATGTTGAATGTTTAAATATTTTTTAAAAATGATTGCAGTCAAAGACTAATTGCCATTAATCCCCCCAAAATACTGCCCTTGCTTCAAACACATTTATCCTATCCGTGCTCTTTATGAAGCCTGGAATCTTCTTTCATGAATGTCTTTAGTTGCCCTATCATGGCTGCCTTGATATCCTGAATGGATTCAAAATGTCTACCTTTTGACTTTGTGGAAGAACCAGGAAGCACATGATGCCAGATCTGGTGAAAAAGGGGGATATGGATACACCATAATTTCTCTAACCATATCAGAAGCTGTGAGTGACACAGCATTGTCATGATAGAGAATAATAATATTTGCCCATTTCTCAGGCTGTTTTCCATACATATTGTTTTTCTTTCTTTCTTTCTTTCTTTCTTTCTTTCTTTCTTTCTTTCTTTCTTTCTTTCTTTCTTTCTTTCTTACTTTCTTTCTTTCTCTCTTTCTCTTTTTCTTTCTTTCTTTCTTTCTTTCTTTCTTTCTTTCTTTCTTTCTTTTTTTTGTCTTTTTGAGACAGGGTCTCACTGTGCAGTTCAGGCTGGCTTGAGCTCACTTTGTAGCCCAGGGTGACCTCGAACTCACAACAATCCTCCTGCCTCAGCCTCCCGAGTGCTGGGATTACGGGTGTGTGGCACCACACTTGTTTTTTTTTTTTTTTTTTTTCCATACGTATTGTTTCTTAAACATTTTAATAAGCCCTTGGAACTCAGACTTGGGTATAAACTTAACTTGTATAATTCCATGGAGGCTAAAGCACATAATCAATATCACCTCTATTTAGAGCTTGATTGACACACTCTTTTGCATTAGGAGAACTAAGTGGTTTCCATTGAGTGCTCGAGGATGCTGAGAATCCTTAGTCTCAACATTCTAACCATAGACCCAGATTTCCTCTCTCTTGATGACAATTCTTAAAAAGCTGGAATCTGAAGTGCATCCAATAAAACTGGCAAATGATATAGCTTTAAAATGTATGGAATAAATTTCACATTTACTGGACTCATGTTCATATGAGGAACATAAGAGATATTCAGATCCTTGGGAATTTCTCTAGTAGTGAATCATCTATTTGATTAAATCATTTGACTTATTCTATCAACATTTTCTTGGGTTCTTGATGTTGAAGGACTTCTGATATCTCTTCACCCTGTAATGATGATACACAGCCATTAGGAAATTACTCAAACCAGTTCTCAACCATCTTCACTGTCACTGTCGTACCACCATAAACTACGTTTAACATTTTGTGTGATATTTTAGCATTTTTAAACACAATTTCATGTTAACATGTCATTTGTGACCCATGATTTTTGGCACACTTTAAAATATAGCTTCTTTCAACGTAGCTCACAATGAGCTGACTGCACCAAACAAGTTGAAACTTGTCACACATCACTTCTTGTGTTGAAGGTTTCTGCCTTTCCATTGCATGTTGCTTGACAGTGTTGGTATTTCTTGATCAGACCTGCATATGTGAGGACTACTGTGCATACAGTGATGCCTTAAACACATTGTAAGCATTATATAAAGTAACCTGCAAGGAAATGTACTGGCTGGAGAGTGAGAAGCAGTTCAGAGAGCATCTTGTGTGACTTATCGTGTGACTTATACTCGGTGTCTGGCGCAGCCCCTGGTCATCTGAGCATGGGTTTTTGGGAGCAAGAGCCCAGTGACTAAATGCTTACAGAATAGTTTAGCTGAACTCTATACTATTTCCCCCCAGGCATCACCACTGTGGGATCCCTTCCACACAAAGTTCAAGCTGTCCTCTTTTACCTCTGCAAACTTCTTGGTGTAGAAGGGCAGCGGGGGAATGAAGAGGAGAAGGATGGTGAGCAGCGGCTGAGGATTAGTAGCACCCAGGAAGGGCACTGTCAGTGTTGAGATCCTTGGGAGACTTGTGGAGCAGCAGGACAGACAGGTGTGTGTGTAAAGTGAATAACTGTGGGGAGGTGCAGTATCTGGGGAAAACAGCTGAGGCATGCAGCTCTCAGGAGCAGCACTTCCTTGCCCAGGGCTGTACTCCTGCCCCAGTAGGGGAAGCTGTTGACAAATTGGAACACATCGAGCAAACTATAAGCCAAGGCCTGTGAAAGATGGCCCGGGGACTCACAGAGCTATTAAAGGGGCTGAACTGTGCCAGAAGGCCCCGCATCCATTTTAGGGACCATCAAGGCTAAGAGATCTGAGTTATCACAAGGAGTATATCCACAGATATGATGTATTTATCCACCACTTGGACTCTAGAAAGTCACAAAACCCATAGTATTCAAGTTTTTTCTTTGTTCTTGAAACAGGTGGAGCTGTTCTGGAGCATTTCAAATCATCTGACCATGGGACCAAATTTCCTGCGAGAATTATGTTCATGATTTCTGTTTGATGGATGGAACCCTATCAATCAGTTCGTGTGTCAAGAGAAGACAAAAGCTATATTTATATAAGTTTTCATTCAGTTATTTAGCTAAGCAGGGTGGCAAGTGATAGTCTCTGGGCCTCTTCACTTTCAATTTTTCTTTGAGTTTCTAACCTTCAATGCAAAGATGATAGCAATAATGACACTGTGACTCATCCACATTTATACTGAAGAAGCTCCCTTTGGAGTCTCTAGGGTTTCCACTGTTGCCTGGATCAATCCAGATTTATTCACGCTCTTCTGGGCACTGGTTTACCTTTTACCCCATCAGAATTGTTCAATTTTATTCAAATACAATGATGTGTCACGGGGTTGTCATTAGTGCAATTTATCAGATACTGCTGGCTTTTTGCTTTTTGGGTGCATGGTAAGAATGCATGTCTTAGGGCCAGGGATACAGCTCAGCGGTGCAGTGCCTGCCTGGCAACTGTGAGATTGTGAGTTTGATTTTTGGTACAAAAAAAAAAGTGCATGCCTTGCTGCCCTTCTGATTAAAGGGGTGCCGTGTCATTGGTGAGGATTAATAAGTTGCCATTATAAATGCTGTATGTCACTTCCATGCTAAAACATTTAACTGCTGGAATGAAACCATTTACAGCTGTCTTTCCCTTTTCCATAGTGACTCGTAGTGCTCCAAATGGTGGCTGCATCAGTAGACTCTATCCTATAGTGAGGATGGCATAGGACAGAAGCTACAGCCAAGGTACAATGGATATGTAGGACCCGTGAGAAGCCAATCCTTGCTGTTTCAAACCAGTATTACTTGGAGAACAGAATAGTTACTGGGCACCTTGGCCATACTAAATGATGCATACCTGAACTTGCAACCCAGCGTCTGCAGTCCTTCTGGTAAAAGCCCCAGAATAGCTCCAAATTCTTCAGAGCATTATTCAAAATATTTCATTTTTATTTTCCCATCCACTTCTAATTTCCATTGACCACATTCTAATTCCCTAGACAGTAGATGGTCTGGAAGGTCTTCTATTCTCACAAGTTGAAAAGTTCACTTAAAATATTTGTTATACTCGGATTGAAAATTATTTGGGTTACATATCTTCCAAACACTTGGTCACATGTTGCAAGACCAATTTCTTACTCCTTTTTGCGCTCACCCTTACTCAATCTATTCCCCAGTCAGTGCTCACCTCTTTTTTGCCTCACTGTCCTCCTCTTCATTCTTGTCATCCTTGTATGGAATGTAAAGAGTTTTCTGGACAACACAGGGTTGGGAACGTGGGAGGTTGATCCAATTGACCAATTAACATAGGGTCTTTTTCACAGAGCTCCTGACACAGTTATTTGGCCTATATTTCAAGTGTCCACTTCGCTTTATTCAAAGGAGGCCATTCTAATTGAGAGTTTGGTAATTTCATAGTGTTTCAATATAGGAAAAAGCAGAGAGACTAAGGCACTCATTTGTCCAGTAACTGAAGGATATTATTGTCCAGGAGCAAATAACTCATGCATCTCTCATGCCTAAGTGAAGTTTCTTTGATAGGACTCCATGTCTGAGACTATTCTTATGGGTATTTTTATGCTTTTTGAGTGTCCATAAACTAGTGTGAAATGTGCCACAAACTGTGTGGTGTGTGAGATGTGGACAGTTCGGGAAGTCTGAGAGAGGGACACGTGGTATTCAGAAGTTCTCCATTCCATCACTTCTACTACACTGAACAGCTCCCTAGCTTGCAAAGCCCCTGCCTCAGTTTTGTTCCTGGAACCCCTATTATGTGTAACTTTCCTGAACCTCGCTTGTGTTACCTACCTCATTTTCTGCTTTATAGTAGAACAGCTGATATGCTTGCTTTCATCTCCTATCCAAACTCACAGCGATACCAAATCCATACCCTCGTAAAGGCTAAAACTATTTATGACTCATTTTTCTAAAAAATGTACAAAGCATGACTTAATTTGCTCACAAATGAGTTCACTTGAAATAGGCATGTCACTCAAAAAAAAAAGAAGTCTATTCTGTCACTTGTTGTGACTGAAAACTATAGTTCAAGAGACAGCCCTGACAGGTTGTCCTCCCAAAGCAGAGAAATTTAGGCAAAAAAGACAATTGAGCAGTGATGGAGGGGGACATTGTTGTAGGAACATCCCTGATACTCCCGTATCACTGACTGGCTAATAAATTGGTTAAAAACAAAACAAGACAAAACAAATAAAACATATATGCTTATCCTCAATCTAACCCTTCCCCTATACTTTGCCTTTAAGTGTGTCCTCATAAGGCGGGGCTTGCAACACAATCATGGTAGAAAAAATAAAATTCTATGTTTAAACTCTACCTGCATGCCTGAGTGTGCATATCTGACAGTTTAAGAGTGACATTTGCCTTCTTCTGCTGGTTCTGGAGACAGCAAGGAAAAATAGCAGATCAGGATTTTAAAAAGTGAGTCGATACGTCATAGGTCTAGAGGGTGACTTCATAGTGGGACTGCAGTTGGTACAACTCTGAGGACAAGCAGGGAAGCTCCTAAGCTGTTGTGCTCTTCCAGTGCCCCAGCTAATGGCTGAGGAAACTCCCCTAAGCCACAGACAGCGAAAGTGGGTTTCCATTCCATCACCAGAAAACCATCAGCATCTCTGCACAATGTTGGTTTGCTATGGAAGACGTTTTCTTTTCGAGGTTGTCTGGTTAAATATTTCTTTGGCCATGAGGGACAGAGAGAGATGAGGGATTAGGAAGTTTTGCTTGGTGTTGAGAGGAGAGGATGAGCATGCGAGTGAGCCCATCCATCACCTCAACACATAGATCCCTGTGTCTAGTCTCACCACCTCTCATTTCCATTGCAGAGAATTCTAAAGCCACAAATAGCACATTGTGATGTGACCTTACTGTATCGCTGTCTATAACGATTTTGTTCACTTAGTAGCATAAACCTTCAGGGGTTCAGATAAGCCTTTTTCTCCCTGGACAGTTGTCAGTGTTTGGGATTTTGGGTGTACTATCATGCTTTGCATAGTTCTGAGTGGTATGGTAGCTACTCAGTTGATGTCTGTGACAACTCTATTAACTGACATTGACTCACAGAATAGAATTCTATTACCTGATATTGATAAGTATCTATCATTTGCACCACATTACATTAAAAATAAATGTAAAAGCTTATAGCCGGATTGGAGAAGATGGCAGGTAACAGCCCATTATCCATGTAGTTCTCTCTGTGCATGAACTGGACATCTGCAGCTATGCTGTTAAGTGGACACACATATGTGGTTCAATGGGCTGCCTGGTGATATTTACCTTAAGCACTCAATTCATTTATCTAACCCCTAAGTGGGTGGTAAATGCTTAATGTAAGCACAATACTAAAAAGAATTAAGATTTATTGAGCATTTACTGTGTGTCTGATGTGTCCCAAGCCCTTTCCATGTTGGAACTCATTGCATCCTCACAACAAACCCTGTGATGATCCCTGTGTTAGAGATAAGAGAGGCTGAGAGAGGTTGAACAGCTGGATTTTTTTGCATGGCAGGACTGTTTTTGAATCCAGAGCTTGCACACAGAGCCTAGGCTTTTAATCACTGAACTTTTTAAGATAGGGACATTGACTCACAAGTATGCTCTGTCTCTGTTTTAAATAGATAAGAAAAAATTGTTTTCACCTCATTGCCATGGGGGAGGGGGTTTTACATTTTGCTTTCTAAACTGTACTGCTAGGCAAGCATAGGGTGAATGTTGGCCATGGGCTTGGTAGGTATAACTGATGTTCAGCAGCTTGGAAAGAAATATACTGATCAAAGATGAAATGAGGTTAATGGACTGCTCTTGGGACAAAGTAAATGTGCTCACAGTGGAAGAGTAGACATGAAGTAATTAATGAAGCAATAATCACTGATGAGCCTAAGTCCGACCTAGTTCTTTGATTACAAGCACTACCATTTGCAGAAAGCTGGCAGGACACTTGGCTTGTGGTAAATATCAGCAAACTGCTTCATCTCAGTTTATTAAGTGATGCTTGATATGTTATCTGTCATTTCCAAAGAACTTCTGAAGTTTCTTCCTTCTTCCCGTCTTTGCATTTGCAATTGGTTTTAATCAGAGGCAAGATGCTGATTCAGCTTCTAGCCTGAATTTATTCAGCTGCGGCAAAGATTCCGTGACAGGGTTACATTTACATTTTTATCACTGTCTCTTAAACCTGAATAATTTATCATGCTCTTTCCATGCCCCCTCCTACCCGGGGCCCCCTATCATTTTACAGAACAAGAGTAAAGCTCTTGCTTTAATAATCAAGCCTGTTTAGGATGTGCCTGCTTTTTCTCATGGGTTTCTGGCACCCCCTCTTTTCTGTCAGGGGAAGATTTGGGGGAGAACTTTTTTTGTACTACTAATTCAACTTAGTTTAATTTGTCAGAGATTTCTTGGTACGGATTCCTTGGTAAAGTAGGTAGGTCCTACAACAGATAAACTGATTACTAAATTAAAGATTTTAAGTTAGGAATCTTATCTGCCTTATGCATGTTTTTTTTGTTTGTTTGGGTTTTGTTGTTGTTGTTGTTGTTTTAAACTGAAGACATGACAAAAAATGACAGCAAACCCCAGGGAGATAATCTTATTGACCCCTCCTACATGAATACTTCTTATCGGAGCAAATTCACTATGCAGATGTGGTAACAGTAGTCCTGACATAACACACAAATTATGTTCAAGGAGAGAAATGCTTCCTACCAATCAATATTGGCATGTTATTGTTTATATTTCCAAGTACATGCTCAGGAATATACTGGTGTATCAGGCCTGAATGAAATTATTTCATTCCTTTGTCAGTTAAGAAAAAGCAGGAATGAAAAAAGAGCAAACACATATCCATGCATGGGCACAGCTCATCAAGACATTTAGTTTATATATTGGACCCAGATGGATATTTTTGCAAACTGTTAAATGAAAACAACTGAATTTTCATTTTATGAAAAGATTTGCCTTAAGGTCCATAAAAAAGCAGGCTCCTTTTGTATGCCTAAAATAGATTTTGAATTGCCAACAGCTTAACACTTTCTTGGTCTCCTTCAAGGACTTTGGGGCCAGGGGCCACTGGGATTTATGGCTGTAAGAATGGTATCAAAACATTCAACTTAATATTAGCTGATGTTTCTTTTCTCAACCCAGGCCACTGCTTCATCAGAGGAGCTGAAGCTGGCAGCACATAGAGCAACTCCAGTAGGTTTCCAGATGGAAAACTATAATACTTTCTGGGGAAGATGAATAAAGGACCAACTATAGTAAGATACTGACCATTTTTTGTGTGTCCACTTGGCCAGACTCTGGTGCCTAGTTGTTTGGTCAGCTGTCAGCCCACATGTTGTTGCATAGGTGTTTCTGAGTGTGATTAACATTCTCATGAGTAGATTTTGAATAAAACAGATTTTTACTCAAATCATGCAGATAATGTGGACAGGCCTTGTTCATTCTACTGAAGACCATCATCTTACCATGCTTTCTAACCTTGGGCAGGTCTTTCAGTTTCTTTGGTACTGCTTTCCTGACTTGTAAAATAGCAAAGATAACAACTTCTATTGCTTTATTGGGGTGTGAGGAGTACATGATATAAATGCATGGTAGTATATTAGATTGAAGGTGTCATTTCCTCCCTATATAACTAAGTATTTGCTCCAACACACTCTGAAGTTGTTTGAAGCTGAATTCTAACGACAGACCAGCAGTTTCTGGCCATGTCCTCAGTCCTGGTCTTCCTTATCTTACTAACAGGAGAGCAGGCGTGCACATACTAGGCCATGATTCAGCTCTGGTTCGGGCTAATGTCTCACTCCAACTAAGGAAGCCTCCTGGGCTTTCTCACTCAGGCGGGCAGTGTCTAATTTTAGAGGCAGAAAAATTATTTTGTTTGCTCTCAGAAATCCCTTAGATTAGTGATTCTCAACTGAAGGTTTCTTTGTCCTCCTGGGGACATTTGGCAATGTCTGTAGATTTTTGGATATCATAACTGGGGTAGGTGAAATGCAAGCAGTATGTAGGGTGCATACAGAGGCCAGAGAGGCTGCTCAATATCCTACTGTCTTAGTAACCTTCTCTTGTTGCTGGGACAAATACCCAACACCTACGATTTAGTGGAGGAGAGGTTTAGTTTGGCTCACATTTCGGCATTCTCAGCCCTTGCATGTGCGGGAGTCTCTAAGGCAGGAGAGTATGGCACAGGGACATGGTGGGAGAATAACTGCCCATGACATGGTGGACAGAGAAAAGCCCTTCCAGGTCATGCCCCGGTGACCTAACTCTGGACAAGTTACCACCCCCTAAATCCAAGTCACCTATAAGCCCCCATAAGCCAGTCATCTTCTAGAAACTCCCCCTATGGATGCATGAGGGCCTTGGGGGGACATCTAGATATAAACCATATCACCTACTATGCACAGGATGTCCCTAGACAACAAAGACTTGTCTAATTTGAAATGTCAATGGTGCTGGGGTAGTGTCTTAAGTCTCTTTCTGGTGCTGGACACAGTCCTCCACACTCACAACTTAAAGGAGGAGAAGCTTATTTCAGTCCAAAGAAATTTCTCAGTTTCGGTCCAAAGTCCACAGCTCTAAGACGGAAACAAAATGGCAGAGGGGCAAGTGGAGGAAAAGGTACTCAACCCATGGCAGCCAAGAAGCAGAGCGAAAAGAGGAGCCAGGGACACGAGTACACACTTCCAGCTCACGATCCCAGTGACCTGCCTCCAACTAGCCTCAATCTCCTAACAGCACATTTAGCTCCTGAACTCACCAACGGATGAATCCAACAACCTTCTGAACACAGGAGGCTTTGCGGGGACACTTTAGATCTAAATGATAACAGGTAGAGTATGTAGAATTGGGAAGGGAATCCGAGGAAGGTGAGAGAAGGGAATGCTGGGCAGAGGAAGGGGAAATAAAAATGATCAAGATGTAATATGTATAAGTACCAGTTCCTCTAACGGAATGTAATTATCATGTATCACAAATATATACCAACAATAAAAAATAATAAAAGAAAAAAATTAAAAAGAAACCCTTCCACCTCCAGTACATAATGGAAAGTAAAACAAGAAACAAGTCGCAATTACATGTCAAAGGAAGATTCTCCAGTGTCTCAATGCTATTAAAGGTCTCCAGTCACCTTTTTTCCTAGTTTCCAGACAGACCATTCTATAATTAGACACTTCCTCTACACTTTGTACATATTAAATTAATATTAATAAGGATTTCTGATGAGGGTCTGAGCAGTGGCAGAAACTAGCTGGTTTTGATGGTTATATTAGATAAAAAAGGAAGTGAGACAAATCAACAGACTACTT